CCTGTCCTGTGAGAAGCTGCGACTACCAGATAATGATTTTTTGGTACATCCACACATATGCCAGGTGTTACAGCATGCAGGGGGTGTAAGCCTAGTCATGCCAGGAAGGCATTAAAAAAACTGTAAACTGGTAGAAGCTGCATTCTGCACAGCCAGTCTGGAGCAATCTGCATTCTCAGCTAGCAACTGTCATCCTATTTGTTGATGCGAATATGTGAGCCTGTGCATATTGGCAGCCAAAACGATGCCAATGCCCAGTCACCAAAAACAAATACTGTATATGAGACTGAAAACTGCAGCTATTTATCTTTGCAAACCACACATCTGAAGTTCCTAAAATGGTTTCTTGCTTCTTGCCAAAGCTTGACATAAAAAAAATATGCAGACATCATTAGGGAAAAGACTAATGTATAGCGCGCAGCCTTTTCCCCTGCCGTGCCTTTGTCATCTGGAAGGATCTGTACTGTGAATGTCAAGTGAGTTTGTAAGGCAAAGGTCGTCTTCCACAAACCTCAGTGAAGGTCTCAGCCCAGATGCGGGAACGCACTTTCAGGATAGCAGTTGTCCCCTTCTCCAGAAGACCCACTTTACACTGGAGTGTCCAGCAGTCTGCATTAGAGCAGGACTAGAAAAACAGAAAGAAAGAATCTAAACTATTTTAATTTAATGCTAAAGAAGTTTTACTGATGTCATGTTTGTGCATAAATAGCAGCTACAAAAAAATTAATTAATTCAAATCCACAGTCACAGGACGTATATATACAGGTAGAACTCACACAGGAAAAAGTGAAACATGTTTAAGTAGAGATGAAAAGGACAAACAACTGTTAATCCTGTAGTTTCACTAAATGTAACAAAGAGCCCAGTGATCCCAATTCCACGCCTGCTTTGAATTAGATTGTAGGAATGTCATGAGACTGTAAAATGCAATGTGTACCATTCTCCGCATTACTGCCCAACCACTAAGACCAGCCCATTTGTCTCAGGATTGTACACAATCCTAAATTAGATCCCTATAATGCAGCTTGGTACAGTTAACATTTTAAAACAAAGTGTGCTTTAGAGGTGGTTCTGTAGCCAGACCGCCCCCAGACTGAGAGGTTTTGGTGGGTTTCCTACGGGAACTTATTTGTTTACTTAATTACGCCGCATAGGGAAAATACAGGAGGAGAGTACCACCTGGTTCCTTCAGTCTCAGTCTGAGACTGATGTAATGAAGCCATTCAGACAAACAGGGAGTGTAACAGTGCACTTCTTTCTGGTAGACCTCCTGGATGCCCCCGAGCAGCGGGCATAGGTCTGCGGAAATTACATGGCCATGGTCCAGTGCCAACGACACCAAAGACTCAAGTCTCACCTCCATGGTGGGATTATGTGGTCAGGATCTGGAGCTTTGGAGGCACAAAGGTTGTTCCCACAACTTCACAAACTGACTTACACAGCTGCTCTACACACAAAGCACTGAAATCATTAGCTGATTAATCAATTAGGTGATTGACAGAAAATGGAACCGCGAAAATTCTGATGATCACTATACGGAGTTAAAGCAAAAATGCCAAACAATGACAGAAGAGATCGCCACTGATTTCCTGCAAATCTGAGGAATTTTCTGTTTTAAGTCTTTGTAAATTTAGTCCAATTCTTATTTCATGTAATTCAATTCCAGTTTTGGAAACTTGATCAGTCAAAAAAATCATTAGTTGCAGGCTATTTCTAAATCCATAAATATGAAAGCACTCTTTAATATTATCTTTTAAAACCTTTAAAAAAGTAGAATACATTAACGGCTGTATTAGATGTTTATAGATCAGTCATAAGCCATTCATAACTTTTTCTCTAATGAGATGTGAAAAACATCTTTGGCTGATGTTTATCATTTGTATTTGCTAATAATGCAGTTATAAACATTAGTATTAAATAGCTGTGGGTTTCACACTTTTTAATAAACCATCAAGTCTTTAGTTACACAAAGTGATGTCAGTCCAGAGTCTCCACTGATTTCTCTACAGGTGGTCCATCACAGGGACTTGCTGATGAATTCATAAGCTAAAAAGACAGAACGCAGTGTCCTGCTGCAGGATAAATAGCTGCTAGAGAAATGTAGCACAGCCTGGCAACCACAAGGTACTAACAACACACAAAGAGGTTCACACTAGATAATGGAACCAAATATTTAACCAGTGCTTACACAATAATTACCAATGTATTTCAACAGACAGTTCTGCAACACACAGAGTATGAAGAAATTTAAAAGAATAAATCCAAATGATTATGAAGTGACATGTTTTTTTTTTTTTATTTGCACGATTAGAGCCTGTCCTTTGTTCTTTACATAGCACAGCTTGTTAACGACTAATCGGGTCGTTTTAAATTCTTACACTCTGACCTAGACCGTCAGCTTCATCCAAGCATTATTAGCACTAACACACTTTAACCAAGACAGACTTTGATTGGAGATATCTGCCCAACTGAGTGTAAAAAACAAAGTGCAGGCAGAGAGGAACAAGGGAAAATAGGGTCCTTCATACCAACATGTTATTGGACATGCTTGATCAATGAGCACAGGTAGGAGCAACAGGCCTCTTCAGTGGAGGCAGGTATCCACAGAGGGCGGCAGATAGTTAGTGTGTGGGGGCCAACACCCAGAGCCAAAACTTAGGAAGGAACAGAGCATTTCTGACAAAAAGCCTCCCACACCCCACGTCTTCTCAGCCTCTCCAGCCCTCCACCACTACTCCTTTAATGTTAATTGCCACAATGAGACAAACCTGTGTCCTTTTACCAACATCGTAATCTAATTACCCAGTCCCAGGAGCCTCGTGTAAGAACAGGGTCACCAAAATGGATTCAGATTTGCACACTTAAGAGTCATGACCTGCTTCTGAGTAACACAAAATAAAATAACCACATTTACCCTAAACTGCAAACTCAAGCTCCTCAGCCCCCTGCATTCAAATCAGTCACTGTTGCATTAGACCCCGTCTCTTCACGTGATAATGTTCATTCAGGCATATGGCACTCTATTTATATACAATGTGACAATTCTCCTCCGAGTATCTTACCAGGTTAGTCAAATGAGAGAGCTGGTTCCTGTGGACATCCCTTCTCTCAACACGGTGTTCATGGGCCTTGAGTGCCAGAACCGGTGGTTCTGTGGAGGAGTGCTGGAGCTAAAGGGAGAGTACAACCACACACACACACCATACATTAGGACAACACAGACATGGGCCTCACCAAGTGGAAGAGCACACCACCCTTTCTGACACTGTAAAGCCTAATGTTAGCATGACCCTGAGGCTTTATGTCATTAATCAGAAGCATGTGAGCTCCGCTACACATGGATTCCCGTGGAAATGCAATGTACTTAGCAACTCACCAGGGGGATAAACATTAGATTACAGCTAAGACAGATGACCCTGCTCAATATTTGTCAAACAAAAACAACTGCACTGAGATGTTTTGCCCACAGAATCCCAACGACACAACTTGATTTAAGGGCTGCATCACTGGATGTTGAAGATGAGTGAGTGTATTGCCTAGTGAGGTGGTTCATCAAGCTGTGCTGAGCATAGGGCAGAGCTGGAACTTCAAAGCCGTGGGTAAGCGTCCTGGGTGGGGCTGAGAAGCTGGGAGGAGAAGGTGGGTGTGGGGCAACCAGTGGGAGCACCCAGCTGTTAATAATGCATCTGACTGGGAATCAGTGGGAGATCTTTACTGTGTGATTTTGCCTCATCTGACCCTGAGAGGTGTACATCTGTGCACATCTACGTGTCACTCACTTTGAGACGTCGATGGTTCATGTTTTTATTGGAGGTGCAGTTGATGGGTCCTTCTGTGGAGAACTCCAGAGGGTAAAGGAGAGCGAGGCCCTGAATGCTGAGCGGGCAGCGCAGTTCGAGTAGGGTGTGGCTGATCTGACTGGGCCCGTTGTTCACCAGCTGGAAAATGAAAATAGGAAGTTTAAGAAGTGAAGTATTAGAGAACTTCAAGAGCAGGTTGACTGTCTCATATTTTAGTTGTAGCTACTATATACAGGTTGCAACTGATCTTTACCCACGCTGAAATGTTCATAACTGATGTAGTTCTTTAATATACAACTGGTCACCTAACGTAGAGGACTATTTATTCTCATCCAAGTGAATCTGCACAACAGCTTTCCTTTGGCTTTCCTTCACTGCTGCCCTGAGAAGTCAACTTGCTTTATGAACAGTAGGATCTGCTTTCCAGTGCTCTCTGCTCAGCCCCAGTGACTCTGCACTGCTATGGCTGGTTACCTCATAGATATGTTCCACTGCAGGCCCAACGTCCTGCTCCACCTCATAGCTTTTGGTCACCTTCCAGTTGGCCAGCGGGAAGAAGACCTTATCTGGTCGAGACACACTAAATACGAGATGCCAGGGTGTGAGAGCATGTATAGGGAGAAACTAGAAAATGAAATTCCAAAGTTTCAAATGAGGGAATCCTACCACTCAACTCACCCTTGTAGAATGACATCAGCCTGAACAATCACCTCCAGCTTGTAGGGCACAACCTCACTGTGGGAGTTGTTCTCATTCTTACTGTGGAAAGAGAGAGAGGAAGAAAAGAATTCTGATGAGCTGATGTCATAGAGGTCAGTGCTGCCGGATCCACAAATATTCCATTAGTGTCTCAGTTGTGTGTTCACATCAAGGTGTACCTGCGAATCTGCAGCTCAAACTGAACAGTTTTGTGTGTGTCTCTCAACCGTGGCACTGTGAAGCGCAGACCTGCCCACAGCTGCAAAGAAAATGATCCGCCATGTTAATCATCTTATCATCGTGTAAAAAAGTCATTCACAAGCCCTAATATCTTCCATTACAATCTAACATGTAACAGAAGAACACAGCAGGTAACACTACGGAAAATCTGTGTGAGGTTGAGATACTGCAATTACAGTGCTGCTCTGACTTGTCATTCCAGATACATCTGTTTTCCATAGAATCTGTATGTATGCCTGTTTGGTGCAGAAGCCCCTCTGAAGGCTTGTGCACAGAGATTTTTATCAGATGGTGATATTAACATTTTGTTTTCTCCTTCAGTCAGCCAGTCCCTCTGCTTCTCCTTTTCCTCATTAAATTACAATAATAATACTACAAACTGAAGGCTTCAGAGATGCAGATTCTTTGGCAACGTGCTTATAAAATGGAGAAGTAAGTCTTTGTTTTTGAGTCAGTCTTCCTCTACAGACCTCAGTCACAACTGCCATGATTTTCCATGGCAGTTTGTGACTCCGTCGTTAAAAAAGGGGAACAGATAGAATCTGGGCTTCCTGTCACATTTCCTGACACATACTGACTTTTCCTGTTCACACCCAACCTGTGGACGGCATAAAACTTTTTCCTACAAAAAGCAAGAAACCATGACACAGTGTTAAACTACTATTGAAACTACTATACTTCAGATGCAGCGCCATATCCTACAAACCTTTAACTCGTAAGGCATGAAGCTTAAAAAAAGAAGGGGGGGGTCAGCAAAAGGTCAGTGGTGTTCTTACATTGGTACCAGACTTCATCGGGTTGCCCAGATCACAGCTGAGGTATCGAGTCTGGTTTTCTGTCTCATAGCTGCAGGTCAGCTGGGTCAGGCTCTGGGAAACAAGGGGACACACTGGTAGATCCACAGTCAAAGACAACTGGTATCATGTCCCGAGAGACGTACTGGTTCCTGGAAGTTGGAGGCTTTCTCTGTGTTCTGCATTTCTGCTCACCTCATTATTGCGGGCAATACCGCTGTAGTCAGCTTCAGGGGGCAGCACCACATACAGCTCTGCTTCGTACGCGCCCCCACCTTCATTCCTGGCGTTGAAAGTCAAAGTCAGCGAGTTGTCATCACCCAAGGAGACTTCCTTCCTGTCCCTGAGAATCCAACCAAAGAAAAATGGATTACAAATAGAGTCAGTGGTCACATTAAATTGTGTTAAGACATAAATATAGACAAAGCAGTGTTCGCATGTTCTGACTAAACAATGTGCTACTGTGTTTGTGTTTGTGGGCAGTAGAGTGGGAAAAAACTGCTGTTGCTTTAATGAAACTAAAACATTTGCAGCTTTGTTCTGGTCACATCCGTTTTCATTTTTCAAGCTATAAAGCACATCGCTAAGATGAATCACTTAATTAATAACCCTGCCCACCATTAACTGGAAACTCTTCTGATGTGGTAATGAAGTCACACACATGTACCACAGAGTGTAGCTCTGTTAAACACCTCCCCCTTCCTTGATTTCTCTCACTGCCTCCACCTCCCAGCTAAGAACAATGAGAAATTCCAGATGGAGGGTCCACACAGATGCTTTTAATTACAGCCCAGTCTCAGAAAGCGAGAACAAAACGGAAGATTTCTGAATCTGATCCTGTGTCGGACTGCAAGTCAGCCGTGGTGCGATTCGAGCTGGCATCGCACTTCTAAACAAAACAAAGGCTCAAAATTAAAAAACACCACAAGAGCCTTAAAGCTTCCCTGAGGCATCCTTGGTCTAACAGGTTATGTGCTTTGGCAGTGGAATAGAAGAAATAACACTGCAGGAATGATGGATACATTTTTGCTGAAATTCCACTAAAGCATGGCCATCCTGTCAACCCCTCTCACCACTATTAGGGTCCCATAGTTTGCTGCAGAGCAGACAAAAACCATCAAACTACTATTTTAATTGCACTAATCACGCTTTCTTCTGCTCAGTGTGTAGAGGTACACTTGGATGGAGCACAAGACTAGCGCTTGGTCACAGCAGGTTATTCCATTGGTGATGGATCAGCCATACATTGAAAAAAAATGGAGGCAGATGGTAGATAAATATAGGAATGTGAAATCAAAATGACAGAGCAGAGATGGGACTTACAGACAGGGCGTTATTTTTGAGAAAAATGCTAACAGATTTCTTAAACCAAAGAGTGGCAGGCAGAGTGTTTTGATCCCTTTCATATCTCCTGTCTTTTGCACTCTTTGTCATAGCACCTGTAGAGCTGGGTCCTGAGGATGGTGTACCCTTCCTCTGCTGCAGCACTGTGGCTATTAACAGTCCCTCTCTGGTATGCTAAAATAGACAAAGCATTTGGGATTTTTAGAAGTATATAGGACGTGAAGAGACTCACCCGTGGACTGTCAGCTTCAAGTCAGGAACACAGATGTTGTCCTCTCCACAGTCCAACAGAATCTGAGCCTAGGAAATGCACATTTGGGGGATCAAAGTTTGACAAATGCGTGATGACCGTATAGCAGGTTCTGACTGAAAACACACTTCTACATGTGAAAAGAATTAGACACAAGATAAATCAGATATCTGCTCAAAGGAGACAACAGGATCAGTGTGGCAAGATGCAACATGTGGTATGACTAATGCATTCCACCCCTGCCTCCCGACCACCACCCAGCACACACACACCTGGACTGCAGTTCCCTTTATTTACAAGACATTGTGACTACATATCAGACAGTTAAAAACATTGTTGTGGCTCAGAGGAACAACGACTGACTCAGTGAGGTCATGACAGGAGCAGACACACACCCCGGCACCAGCTGTCCCAGTACGCATCGCATATGCTCTGTGTTTCCAGTGTCACAGAAGGAAATGATGAACAGGGTCCAAGCCAAAGCCTGTGCCAGAAGACATCCTCCTGTGAAGCTAAGCATACAGCTGCCAGTTCCCAGCTCTTACCAACGTCCCACATCACAACACTATGTGGCGAACCACGCTTTCACCACACACTACACCACCCAGTGAACCACAGCTGTATATGATGATATGGAGAGGGAGGAGAGTAAAACCTAAAGAAACCTACTGAGACATAGGATATCTCTGTTGAAGTGAGGGTTCTGTGATTACAGTGGAGGGGAAGACAAGAAAGGAGCAGAAACACAGTCAGTTAAGTGGATGACCGCTGAACGTCAGGCAGGGCAGCAGCAGGGAAAGACCTGCGGAGCGCTTAATCGCATCCCACTGCGACTGTGAACAGCATGATGATGCTCATGACGGTGAAGACAATAAATAGAAATGGAGGAGGAGATTAGAGAGAGAAGAGCACCCCCCTTATCATTACACCATCCGGGGGCTCTAATTATGGACACCATGGTAACCACCACGCACAACTTGGCCGGAGGTGCACCCTGTCTTGGCCCATTGCTGGAGATAAACAACAACACTGACATCAACGTGTGACATAATGAGGACAAGCATCATGCAGAGAAATCAAACGTTACAATATGAGTGTATCCAGTAATCACAGTCACAGCCATTTGAGGGCAGTGATGCACAGCTTCAGCCATTTCCAAGTTCAAAAAGGTGACAACTGGGATCCTTTGTATAATGGTGTCTAGAATGGTGCCAATTAGTAGATCATCTTAAAGCCATATGTCCTCACGGAGACATATGCAATGTGTTAAGATGAGAGGGTGAAACTGTGCCAAACACATCCACCATCTCTCATTCTCACTTCAGCTTGAAGAGTAAGAACTTGGCAGAGTCAGTGAAATGTTACATGGCCTGGTGCATATTCTCCAAGCATATGTGGAAATGCACAGAGCATCATGTGTCTGATAGTGTGAGTCCAAGGCTGTGGTATAATAGGGAGTTCAACTGTTTATCACTTCTGTCATTCACACAGCATAAAGCAAAATCAATAAAATATGTTGGCAATCTGATGCTGCTCCCACTCCCCTTTTACACACACATACACATATCTGATTTGCCCTCATTGGGTGTTTGGCAACAAGGACTTATCCAGTTTTAGGGCATTAATTTATCTCAGGCTTGTCTCAATGTCTTGGTTCAGCAATCAACCACATCTGTTGGAAGCCCAACAGCTTAGATATCTAGGAAGAACATCAATAAGAGGGATCAGTCTTGATGCAGTAGGGAAAAGACAGCAACACACTGAGATACAGAGAGAAACTGAAAAACATGAGGAGATAAAACATCCATGATTTCCATTCCCCAAGTGCACCCGTCCAATGGCTGTTACTGAACTGCCGCTCTACTCACTGCCAGAGGAAACCTGGCTAAATGCAGGGTGATTTCGACCAGATGGGCAAACAGATTGGCTTTGTCCCACCCTGAAATATCAACAAACCTTCTGTGTCTGCATCTCTGGAGCGACTCACCTCTGCACCGTTACACAGCTGAGGGTTCTTCCTCCTGGTGCAGCAAAACCCGCAACTGTACATATGCCTCACATTTTCATTTTGAAAACAGTTTTCCAGACCCTAGATCTCTTCCCAGCAGAGTAGGTTAAAATTTACATTAAAAAAAGAACAGACTCGCTCTTTCATCAGGGACGGAGCAAATCAGTGAGTAGCTGGCCAGAGATTACATGATTACTCAGTGTGGGGGGCATTCTTATCATCAGCTCACAGAGAATGAGTCTAAGGATCCACATACCACATGTACATTATTAGAGAACACTGCTGCACCATATATTGATGCTGGAAGCTCTGTAGACAGTTCTAGGGTTAGTTAACTGTGCTGCACAGGAGGCTGAGGAGAGGAGTCGCATGTCAGTGTACCTTCTGCTCAATGGCGCTGGTTGTCTGATAGTTGAGGACGGGCCGCAGGCCGTGGGAATCAGCTGCAGCTTTTGGATCCAAGCTGAAGTTCAAGGCTACATAAATGGCAGAGAGTTTATCCCTGAAGTCTTTCTCATCCTGCAGTAAAAGAAGCACATAGAGGTTTTATGAAATGCAACTTGTATAAAATGTGACAATCGATTGAGAATTTCCTGGGACCACATTTAAAAAATACAGCTACCCATTCATATTGTTTTCTTAAAAAAAAAACCTACTTTTCAGTTTTTTATTTTACTTTTACTGCTGGTTTACTTTATTATGACTGTTACACAGGCTTAGTCATAGGATGTGTAATCACAGTCACAGACAGGGTTTTTACTAGTGGGAGAGGAGGCATACCCTTAGGTAGATCTTTGTGTGGTTGCAGATGCGCTCGCCATGGCGCACCCTCATACTCCTCTGGAGCAAGGGCTGCTGGGAATCCAAAAACAGAGCTCTCTTCACTGCACTTTTCTGCTTGTGCTTATGACTGTCAAGCTGCACCTCCACCTGGAAATCTGGAACACACAACGCACACATAAATGGGCACTGGTGGTGTGATGAATGTTCGTGAGTCACGTAATGACAGCTTTAAAAACAGACCTCCATAGACACTCGGAGGCATTCACAATGCAGTCAGTGTAACATACATAATGGCACAGGTAATGCTTGTGCTGTATATAGAGGTCAGAGAAATCAGAAGTAATAACTGAGGGTTGATATGGACAGGGACTAAGCACAGAAGAGGTTTGATCATCAAAGGTGAATCACAGGAGACATTTTGGATGAAGCACTCACTTTTTTTGTCATAACAAAATCCAAATGCTACATCACCTACAAAACAACCTACAACGTGTTATGGATTTAAAACATTAGCACTGGTTTGACAGTTTCCTTAGTTGAAATAATGTGCAGATGTGGAAAACTGGCTCACCTAGGATGCCTGGTAGGTGCTTCCCCTCAGCAGATATGCAGAAACTCAAGTTGACGCTGTTTTGGACAGAAGGGACAAGGGCATGATGAGAGAAGCATATTCATGTATGGCAGAGACTCAGTATAAATATACTGCACACACAAGACGCGTCACTTGCCCTCATTTGTTCTCTCACTCCTCTCAGCTCCTTACATGGTTCACATTACAAGGTACAAGACGCAAAGGAATTATGAATAATATGAAAAAAATGCCAAATGTTTGCAGACATACTGGCATCTGACCGCTTTCGCCAGCCGGGCTGATAAATCAGTGTGTGTCTCCGTTTCCACCCACAGCCCCCCCCACACACACAAAGAAATAGCAGAGTTAAGAAGGGTGAAATTGGGTAGCGACTCAGGTTTCAGTGCTGACCAGTCAATGGCTTTCTATACAGCTCTCCCATGACATCAGCTGCACAACATGCTGCCGCTGTCCAAAAATCTGTAGCCTTAACACCCCCGATCCATTTACTCCACACAAGACCAACAAAGAAAAAGAAACTAGAAGTGAGCATGCAAAAGGGAGAGTCTACTGGAAAAAAAAAACAGGGGAAAGGAAAGAAACGTGAAAGAGGAGGCAGAAAATACGAGGACTTCTTTGGAGGAGTAATAATAACTACATGTATATGCCCCTGTGTGCACGCTCACGGGAGTCTACGTGTCCTGATGTTTCCCAGCTGTGTTCCAACACCAAACAATATCTCATTCAAGCTAACTACAAAAACCTTCCAGCCCCTTCCCTCCTGCCCTTACTCTGCTCCCCTCTGTTCTCCTTTACTCCCCACCAAAAACTCCTCATCACCAGGCAACAAAGCATAATCAAGACACGTGTGTACAGTATACAAGCGTTTACTTTATAGATCAGGATCTGGAGAAGGGGGAGGAGGGCAGACACGTGAGCATAATGTCATCCATGTCGAGCAGCAAGCAAGCATCATCTGTTTCCGCTCCATTTCCCTGTAACTGAATCCCGTGCACATTTGAAGGAGGCCAAAAACAGCTAACAATGCTGCTATTCACCGTGTTATTTCACTGCTCCTCGACAGAAACAGAGTGATAGGAAGAAATTTTGAAAGATAAGTTTTGTACAAATTAATACCATGACTGCTGATGGAGTGGATGCTCCTTATCAGAACCTCCTTCCAAGGTGGAAGTGTTTATGTATGAGGGAAATGGGGAAGCCCGTGTTTTGCAGCTGGGTCAAACAAATCCCAGCAGAGAAGCAGTGTCACAGGAAAAATGTGGTATTGGATGAACTGCTCACCAGGAAACAGGAACGCTGGTGTTTCCACTGGTGATGATGCAGTTCTTCTCTTCAGGGTTAATCACAGTAGGGGAAACTGTCAGAGAGGCACTGGTGTGAACTATTGGGCGTGATCTGTACGTAACAGAAAGAACATGGAATAAAGACTCATTCATCAAAGATTACTGTGTTCAAGGAAATGTTTGACATTTTGGGAAACAGACTCATGGGCCACTTTATTAGGCACACCTGTACAACTGTAGGCACTTCAATGCAAGACCTCCGCCTTAACATCTGTGTTTATGAAGCTCTGAATATAATGTAGTCCAGTACAACACCACCTTTAACTATGGCCTCAATAATAAACATATGATTGCATTTATATATTTATGACACATTTATGAAACATTCTTAGCTTCATGAACACAGATGTTAAGGAGGAAGTGTTGCATTGAATTGCATAAAATTGCTAAGGGGTCCCTAATAAAGTGGCCTGTGAGTATGTGTAGGTGCCTGCTGAGAATAAGATGAGTAGACTGAAGCCACTCTCATATCTGTCTGTTAAGAAGACAGTTTAGCATAAAGACTGGAAAGAGCTAGCAAGCTCTGTCCAAAGTTAAAATATCTGCCAGCAATGCTGTGACCTGCATTTCTTTCTGATTAAACAAATAAATACCAGATATAGTGAATTATACTGAGCTTTAGGTGTGCTGCTAGGCAGATGTTTTACCTTTGGACAGAGCTGGCTTTATGCTTGGCTATGATAGTTGTTATGTAGCTCCGGCATCATGTTAGGTGTAAACAGGTACACTGACTTTCTTAACAACAAAGCAAATAAGCACATTTCCTACAATGTTGAACTATTGCTTTAAACAAATAGCCTGCATGATTACATACAGTATAGATTCAAAGCAACATACCTATAGAGAACTGCTTTATTAACACCAAAGGCACCAACAATGAGATCTGAGGACATAAACAGACAGAATTAGAAAACATACTAAAAGAGACTAAACACCCATTACACACCAGCAGCCTAACTCACCTGGGTAGCCATTCATGTCCAGGTCTTTAGCACCTCTGAGGGCAAATCCAAAGCTGGCAGGAATGACCCCAGCCGCCCACTGGCCAGTGATCACCTGAGATGGCTTTTCCCTGAGTCCTTCTGAGTATCCGTTATAGATGTAGACCTGTCCTCGCCGATCCTCCCCTCCAAATGGACAGCTAATGGCCACATCTGCCAAAGTTTAAGAAAATGGACACCATCATAGATTTTTTTCAAAATACACATTTACCATTATGCTTAAATGTAAATATGCTTTGTGAGATAGAAACTGTGGAAAAATAATAATTTGTTTATAATTTCTTGAAAAATCCAGTTAAACTGTGGTCACATCAGTCTAGTGTAAAGGGCAAAGGGTAACAATGGAACACAACACAAAAACACTTACTAATCATACTACTGTATGTGTGTAACAGAATAAAGTGGGAACAGTGGTTCATTGCCATATATAGTTTCTGCTTACCCGAATTCCTGCTATTAATTATTATTTTTGTACTTTTAACAGCTTAAAACCTGATTTTGAACGAGTCCAATTCTACCTACAGTTTTTACTATGTGATTAAAACACTATGAATAGAATTCAAGTACAAGTAAACGCATCATTGCATTAACTAAATTCAGTTCACAAATCCCACCACCACCCCAACTCTCCTACTTTTCTTACCATTGAAACCATCCTGGTTCACATCTCCCAGTGGTGCAATGGTGCTGCCAAACCTCCCAAAGGCCTGGGTGCCTGTGGGGTGAGGTAGATGGAGCTCCAGGTTCAGGGGGCCACGCTGCAGGTAAACATAGACCCGGCCCATTTCTTCCAGGCGGCCATCAGAGCCCCGGACCATGAACATGGGAGCTCCTACCAGCAGGTCAGCCATCCTGCAGACAAAAAAGGAAGATTTACACAAGCCCATTTAATCTCAGACCAGCTGAAGTCTACAGTTATAGCTGTAATGAGTTGTTGGTGGCATCTAATCTAGACTGTGCCAGATAATTACTTAGCAAAGACAGAAGAAAGAGGTAGAGAAAGAACACTCACCCATCATTGTTGATGTCAGCTGTTGCAACTGTGTAGCCAAAATATGATCCCATCTGTAAAAACAAGCATTTCCATGACTGCATAATCAAAACACTCTTTTCAAAAAGCATTAACTTGATAAAGATTTGGTTTATTCTTTAATACAAAACAGTCATAATGCAAACTTCGAATGAGCTTTCTGCATTACTAGAATAAAGGGAAACACAAGGACTTGATGGGTTTTACAGATTAGGCCCAGTTTGGTGCTGTGCCTGTTCCAGTCTTGTTTTCAGAATCATCTGTCACAAACCTCAGTCTAAAGAGCACAGACAGTGTAGAATACAACAACAAGTGAATGTAAGAAAATGCTCTTGTGATTTTATTCAGTCAGCTGAGTCAGTCATCGCTGGTGCTCAGTGCTTTTCTGTTCCCTGAACCATTTGCACAAATTACCATTGTACCTTTCCCTCAATGGCTGAGCTTCACAGCAAAACCAGAAAGACTCCAAAAACTAGTAAAGAGAATGCTGCAAACTCAGCAAATTAAGAGTTCTTGTGAGGAGCTGAGCAATGAAAACAGTGGAGCGTGAAGGTGTTTCCTGCATAGGGCGACGACAGGAGGTTTCTGACTCACCTGCTCACCGGTGTAGTTAACCATAGTCTTCAGATCTGTACCATTCAGAATGGACACCTGCAACACAGCAGCCACATATGCTAAATGGCTTTTTATGGGGTCTAAAATAACAAAGTCTCTGGTATGGAATTCACAGCAAAAATAATTCCCACTGTGACGGCATCATGAAGGTCTGCTTTATTTGTTTTGCTTTTAATCAGTCCCGAGTCTAAAGCCTAGGCATCCCATAATAAAAGCATTAGAATGAAAGCCAAGATGAGGTGATGATTGAGCTTTCTTACCAAACCGTAAAGCATCAGTCCTTTTGGAACACCAGCCACAAAATCTGAGAGCACAAACAGATGAAGCAAAGATTTAGGAGGGAAAATATGGATCAATCACAGCAGGAGGAACAGAGGATTCTGGTATTGATGACATTTCCAGCTCAATAATCATGTCAAATATTGTAGCTCGCTTCATTTAATGTTCACTTAAACTGCAGCATTTGCACTGCTTCTGTACATAATTACCCTTATGTGTTTTTCTTTCTGTACGCCTCACCTAACATGGGCCTTGTGGGATTTTATGGACCTACCTTCCACCTGATCACCACTGAATTCCCCAACAGCAACAGAGTAGCCTGTAGACAACACAAGGGTAGCGATATCACCCCGAGTGGCGAATAAAAAACTGAATATGCATTCACCAGAAAAGCACCAAGTTTAGTTAGGCTCTCTTACCTTGGTAGTTGTCATCATGAACAGACTTGCCCTGTTTAGTCTGGATCTGACCCTTCACTGACTGCATGAAATAGTCTGGGTAGTAGGCTGTGATGATTTCCTCCTTAGCTGCAGAGATCACCTCACCTAAAGCAAAACCAAAGAGAAAAACAGTATTGAAAATAAACTTGGAAGAACATACTAAGGCTTGGTTTTCCTGATTTGAACTGTTCCATACCTTGCCAGTAGTAGCTGCCTGGCCCTCCCAAAACTACTTTGCCATCCTAAAAGATAAAACCTCGAATTACTACAATTAAAAAAAAGATTATCCCAGAACATCCGGTGGTTTGTTACCCACTTATTACCGTTGTAAAATCAGCACTGAATCCTCCCTGACAGTATCCTTGTCCCATCGCATCACTAAGCTCTGAAACACACAAGAGCACAGTGATGCATCATGAATGATTTCAGGATATTCCAGATCTTCTGGTTTCAAGGCATTACACTGTGTCATGTTAATGTCAAGGTGACAGTTACCTGTGCGGCAGGGAGCATACTCCACAAATTTGGTGAAATTACGGACTGAGAGGTAGCAGGTTCCTGTAACATCAGAATGAGGGACGTCTTTTTCAGTCCGCCACGAGTAGAGAGGGGCGCAGGCCTGGGGTGCAGAGCAGAGGTGGAGAAAGGTATGGATAGGTGGGGAGGAAAGGGAGTGAGAGGAGATGGGGTGATGGATGGGGTGAGTGTTTCAGTGAGAGATCGGTGGTACATGTGGAGCAGAGTAACAGCCTGTTCTATAAGGAGCACACAGATTTCTTTACAGTTAGACAAGGATGGAGGTGAAAACTGGAAGTAATGACAGCAGCTTAATGGATAATAACCTGGGAGACAAAACATCTAACAAAACACATAGTCCACATGACATATGAGTGAGATACCACTTAAAGTAGATTGTTTCTCACACAGTTACAGCATGTGGCCAGAGTAGGCTTGACTGAAAGCTCTAATCATAACGTTTTCTCCCCAAATCATCACTGAGACGTTCACCTTACCAGGACTGTGTCACTGTGGGAACGCACTGTGGCACCAAGCCATTGGTGGGACTTGAAATCAGCCTGGTGTTCTGTGTCGTTGAGCTTGACGGTGCGATCCCCTGGGAAACACGGAGAAAAAAATGACACTGAGGAATTACAGTAGGATCAAACACACATTCCTTCAGCTGAACCTCAAATATCCTAATTCTGCCTTTCCCTCCCTTCTAGGCCCTTGGAAACATCTGGACATTTGGCAGAAAGAAGCTTTAAGACTCCAGTTACACAATTTTCTTAATGCAAAGACAATCAGAGTATGAATGTGAAAAGAATGGTATTGCGACCCAGTTACTGTACAAGAGATAGAAGTTGTCTTAGCTTGGCCAGGTTTGGACTGGACTGGCCTAGCTTAACCTCGCTGACCCTTTGCTCTGTTTGACCACCTGGTCTCTAACACTGATCTCCCACTTCAACACTTGGACAGCAGCAGGTGACATGACAGATGGTCTGGGGAGTCAGGTTTAGACCCAGTTTTATTGGAAGACAGACGTTGCATCTGCTCTGCAGAGGATGAAATGCAAACCAACTGATTAAGCAGCAAAGTCTCGTCAACATCATATAGCTCATACAATTGCAAATTCAGTGTATGAGCTCACATTTATAATAGACATGCAAATGTGAGTTCACCATCAGCAGGTCCAAAGAACCATTCCACCTTAACAGTCTTCAAACACATTTCCCTTCTAGACTCAAACCGCAGGCATGTTGCAAAAAAGAAGAGCAGCATCTGCCAGGGACTGACTGATAGATACTGCAAGAGATCATGACTTATGTGGATGTGAAGAAAGCAGGCTGTATGTCAGTCCTCCCTATCCATGCATGTCTGTTCTTGGTCTTTCTTCCCAGCCAACTAGGCAGCCTGGAGCTGGGGGTCTGCTCCGTGACTTTGTGGAAACAGCGAAGGGACCAAGGTCCAAGGAAAACATTCACACTCTGGCCAGGCTTCCTCATAGCAACCTCCTAGTCATCTGTGTTTAAGCACACACTTCTCCCTTTCTCTATTTTCATTTTCAATATTATCTCCCTCTTCCTATTCATTTTTCTTACATAATCTCACCCGAGTCACGATGTCTGTACAGGCCTTTCGCTTTTTTGCTTTCAGGGAGTGCTGCCTCACCTCATCCAAGACTGCAAGTTGATTTTTAATAATTTCACTGTATTTCTGCTTTATCTCCATCGCTGGATTTTTCTGCTAACATTATTCATCATGTGCCAACAGCAACCAGCCCTGCCCCCAGTGTATTAAGTGTTCAGAGGTCCATGTGTAAAAACAAGCCCTTCAGCCATACCAGCAATAATAACTTGACCAGCACATCAACTTATACTTTTAACTAATGTGCCTTAGCTGCATGGTATGTCTTACAGCATGCACCTTTGAAATATTTTTGTAATTCAGGTGAGCCCAGTGCAAAGGGAAAGGTAGGAGCTGGGCAGTGACTGGGTTGGTTTTGAGTCATGTTGCTAGGGCAACCAGGTGTGGCAGAGGAAAAGTCCTCCTGTAATTCTAAATGCATGACTGTCATTGTCAATCTGGCCACGTAAAGGAGAGGAAGCACATCAACGTAACCGCCTAAAAATCTAAGAAAGCTTCTCACAGGCAGCATTGGTTCTGTGTCAGTGAAAAGCTGTTTGTTGTAACTGACGCAGCCAGCTGGAGTCACTCAGATGAAAGTAGAGGAGATTCAGACTGGAGATAGAGAGAGACCCAGAGACGGGCCACAACAATATATCATCGAAGCAAAATCCCCCTGGGAGGCCGGTGAGCTCAGTGTGCTGATGTGACACGGTGCCCGGCCCAGTCTCTCCCGGGACCATCAGAAGTGTGCGGGGGCCTGGAGTGCATCCACAGACTACCTCATGTCTTTGAACTGCATGCGAGAGGACAGCCATTAGTGGGGTTCTCATTGTGAGTGTGTGTGTATTTTTGTATTTCAGTGGGGTTGAAGACAAATGGCCAGATTCACTCATCACATCAGCAGCCCCTGTGGGAGTACCAGCAGCAGAGGAACAGAGGGGGACGGAGCAGAGGAACAGGGCTCTAGTTTTTCCTTCTTTCGTCCTTCCACTTCTCCCCTCTGGCCTTAGCCTCCCTCCTGTATGCACCCCTCTCACATTCTCTGATCTATAGGCAGGTTCTTATCTCAACTGAAGAGGAAGTGGATGGGAGGAGGCCTCTGGCCACTTTGACCCAATTAGTAAGGCAAATTAAGAGAGTCTGTGGTCAGAGCTAAAAGACACAGAGAGACCTATGACTCCACTATGTTATAGGAATATAACAGATAGCAGTACACCAGTGGAAGATCAAATATAATGTAGCTGTGCTCCTTTACACGAGAATTCAAGGATAGGAAAGTTTTAAAAAAAGAAATATTTAACTTCCAGCATGTCTTTATTACTGCTTGAGCCTTTAGTATCAGGATTGGCAAAGAAAACAGTTACAGCTATGAAAAATGAACTGCAGCAGTAGATGTCATCCATGTAACAGCTGTTTGGCACAGACACATTTGCATGCAGATGTCCATGTTAGTGAGTGATCCTCCACTGTGCAGAATCTCTTGCCATGATCCAGATGTCAGAACCAGCTCTGGCACTCTACTCAGCTCCTTCAAAGCCCCTTTAAAAATATGAAGGACACCCTCTGACAAGACAGGGGACGAACCTTCACCATGAGGCCTCGCTGCTTGTCTATGACATCACTCCCTGCGGCCTCCAGCCAACACCCAGGGATGTTCAACACATCTTATGTTGCAAGAAAAATGTTGCAAAATTAGTAGAGCAAAGGGTAAGAAGCAGCACTGACCAATAAAACAATGCTGTTAAATGAGGCTTGTGAAAAACCCAGCAGAATATTTCTCCCCAACTGGCCATAACGGGCAGCCAATTTAAGCTGGCGTGCAATACTAGGTTTGATTTTTCAGAAAAGCAGCCAAAAGTGTTGTGGTATCGTCTCTCTAAATTTGTGATTCTCACGGTTTGTGTGGGAGTGTCTATGTTGTGTGTTTTCAGGGCATGATCAGTCTAAAAACTGGGAACTACACACTTTCATTGTCCCTTCCTGCATTTGGCTCCATTGTGCAAAACAGTCCGATGGGTATGCTGTCAACACACTGAAACATGAATCCTATTCTTTAGACAACCTGTCGGATTTCCTCATGTTCTCCCAGGTCACTTGACCTAAATCTGACTCAACTGGAGGCTTTTTGTCACGACCGGCGTTGTCTGTCTCACCTGTCATACAAACAGGTCATTTCTTTGTCTGATCTATTTGTTTACTGGTTGCTTATCTCACTACAGCTCCCGAGGCAAGGCAACACAAACACGACCTGGAGGAAGGAAGGAGTATTCTTCAAAAACCTCTTCAACACCTCATTATCCTTTCCAACCCCGAAGAGGGGACACAAACAGGAAAAAAGGCTCATCTAAAATCCAGGAATCAATGCAGCCAGTGGAGGGGAGTGGACCACTCGCGCCTGACCCACCCACTGCTGACAACAGGAGCAGAAAGGAAATGGCTTCAAAAGTGCACAAAGCCATTTAAGAGAGTTCAAACACCATCTTCATTTTCTCTCAAACAACCAGGTAATAAGACAAACAGCTGTAGAAGTTAGCTTGCACACACACTTACACAAATAACACATTTATTTAGTATTTCTACTTAAGGTCAGTTATGGATAAATCAAATTTTTATGGTCAACTGGATTAAAAAGTCCCAGGTGTCGGGTCTTCCTATCAGCACATGAATGCACAGTTTGCCTGTGTGTCATTCACAAGGTTTACCTGCAGTATCAAACTCAATCGTGTGACAGTCTGATTGGCCAAGGCTCCATGGACAGTAGAAAACAGATCCTCCCTCTGTGACGCTGACCTGGCTCGTGTTGGCCTTAGGAGCTCCTACCACCACACTTGCACTGTGAAGGAGAGAGCAAGAGAAACAACATACTTTAAATCCAATGTTACAAACTCTCAGCCCTAAAACCCGGATTTCTTTATCAACCTATTTTAGGTTTTATAGCCTGGCCTCACTTAAATTTGCATTCCAAACCTCCTGCTCGACAGCATTAAACATGATGCCATACACACATTCTACGGCTTGGTAAGCTGTATTCTGACTCAGGAGCAAAACATTTTAACAGATTGCAGCAGCGCCTTATATAATCTCATACAGCCAAGAGATCCCGCTTTAACGTGTGCACATGTGATATTTACAGACACACTCGCTCCACTTGTGTGCGTTGAGTCACATAAAGAGAAGCTCTCACACGGTCACACATGCAGCCCTCTGGGGTAATTCAACAGGAAAACAAGAAGCAGACAAGCTAAGTGGAGTCACACTCTTGTTTCTACAGCTGTGCCACAAAATCTCCATGTCCTGGAAGCTACGATGTGCAAGTACGGGAAGGACAAGCTACCATTTTTACACCAAGGTTATGACTGTGTCCAAGACTAAAAACAGGTACATCTGAGATGAAAGAGAAGAAGAAAAGGCAGAGGTTGGCGATACATTAATGGTGAAAACCAAGATTTGAGCAAAAGAAAAATCTCCCTCTAGATAATGTGTCTTAAATGGACAGTTTAGTCATTACATCATTCTGGACCCAGTTGACCTGACAAGCATCACAATTGCCTACACTGATGTGGGTAAAGGAGCCATGGGACCACTGAGACCAGACGGTATCTAGGGGACTCCAAAACAGGAAGAGCACACCCTTTCCTGCCCCATATCTTCCAATAGTACACAAACATTTACATTTTGGCTAAACTTAGCATTGTACCCCCAGGAGTAGCTATGCAGCTGGATCCAGAGCCAGCAGGAGTCAAAACTGCAGTTAAACCATGCATTACTCCAAAGCCTGTTAATCCACAATAATGAATCCTACCAAACCCATCTAGTACTTCAGACAACAACATCTCGAAGGACCCCTCTGTCAAGCTCCTAAAGTTTGCTGATGACACAACGGTCATTGGTCTCATCCGAGACGATGACGAGTCAGCCTACAGACGGGAGGCTGAGCAGCTGGTCCTGTGGTGTAGCTGCAACAACCTGGAGCTGAACACACTCAAAACAGTGGAGATGACAGTGGACTTCAGGAAGAGCCCTCCTACCTTACCCCCCAGTCAGGACTGCAGAAAAGGTCATTGGTGTGAGCCTGCCCTCCATGGAGGACCTGTACACCTCATGGGTCAAAAGGAGGGTGGAGAGGATCACTGCTGACCCCTCACACCCTGGACACAATCTGTTTAAACTCCTCCCCTCTGGACGGCGTTACAGGTCACTGTGCACTAAGACAACCAGGCACAGGGACAGTTTCTTCCCCTGGGCTGTCACTCTGATGAACACTTAACCCAAGACAGTATGACTGGTCTATAACCCTCAGAGCAATACCTGTAAATATACATTGTACAGATTATACAGACTCGTACAGGCCTCTAGTTTTAAGTACTCTGTTTTTATCCCTTATCCCTATTTATCTCATTTCACAATGAGCATTCCTTTGACTGTCTGCATTGTTTACTGCCTGTTAATACTGTTTATTTTGTTGTATTCTACAGCCTTATGCTGGTTTACTGCTTACTTGCCCCTTGCATGGGGATATGTACATACACATTGAGAGTCGATGTGTCCGACACACCTGGCCAATAAAGATGATTCTGATTCTGAGGAGAACCAAAAAAGTCACAGAGCAAGAGTTTATTGTGGAAGTGATGCAGTACAATCCAGCTGTGGAGCAGAAACTCCTGGTTAGTGTTAGAAGAGAGAAAATGAAACAAACTGGTCCACCTGAAACGGCATCCCTCCTTTCATTTCTAACCACATATGCAGATGCAGGGGTATCCCAGTAGAGCTCCAACTGTACAGTAATCTAAATCACAGAGAGGCGCCTTTGTCAGGTACTCTCATAATGAAACAGCCAAGAATCTCCTTCTTGCTGTCTTTGAAGTAACACCCGATCGCTCAGTAAAGATTTAATACTAGCAAACCACACTTTTGATCTTTACTGAGTAAGCATGATGCTGAAAAATGTTACCTGGGCTTCAGGCAAATTCTCTTGGACAGCAAGGCTGTAAACTGTTCTGAGCAGAATTCAGATGATGTGTCTATGATGAAAACCTTAAAAAATGGTCTGTGTACATAATAACAAGGCCAAGGAAATTGGAAGCTGCAACATCTTTTGTTGAATCAGATCTGAACGGAGGCCAGGCACAGTTGGCCGCGGCAGCTTCACAAAGGGAACAAATACAGGAAATAGGAAAACAAGCAGATCATGCTTTAATCAGCAAGTTGGCAGCTGAAATGAGCATTCACTACCCTACACAGACACACAGATGGGCAGACACATTCACACACAAACATGGACTGATAGTAATCTCACATATGAGGAAGAATGAGCATTTAATGGGTCTCTATCTGGTGAAGATCAGTCTAGTTCTAGCAGACATTTCCTCAGGTCTTTGCCTTATCTGCTCGCTGTGTGGTCAAAGGGTACAGCTTTGCATCATTAGCATTTAATGAGGGTCTAATGTAGTCGGCTGAGTGCTGCATTACAAATGCCTCTCTAATGTGGCTCCTGGAATGTGCATTCAAATATTTATGTAATTAGCAGAAAAAAAGATAAATGCTCAGCTGAATGACAGACATGCTCATCAGGTTGTGTCTGAGTCAGAATGAAAGACAAAAGGCTGTTCAGAGAGAGAGTGAAAGCACCACCATCACAGGTTTAATAGAGATCACAGCAGGCAAAGCAGAAGCTACACTGGTAACTGGAGCTCAGTATGCATTTGAAAAGCAATGAGAAGTCGCTTCTAAAAAACTCAGACAGGGTCCTCTGCTGGCTGACATGTTTCTGCTACAGGAGAATTAAACTGATTTTCACTTGGCTGTTTCATGTTGCTACGGACAAACAGCAAATCCACTTCACAGGAGAGAGACTGGAGCAATGTCTTTAGTTGGGGAATAGGCAGATGAATAGCATTAGCAGCCTCACAATGTCTGGCATTATAAACTCCACCAGCGGCCATTCAGTAGCCACTAATGAGCTCCATAACCCAGCTCACAATTAAGCATTAATTAAACTACAGTAAGTGATTTGGCCTGCGAGTGAGAAATGTCTAAACAGCAGCTTCACCGTAACTAAAGACTGGGTTGGTCTCATTCAATCAGAGGCCATTCTACAAAAAAAAAAAATCTCTCACCACATCATAACTGCCAGAATGTAACCACTATTTTATGTGGAGCTGAGAAATTAGGGGCAATTCAGAGTGCGAGAACTTGCTGATGTGACACAATGGTTCATAGCCATGGCTACTAGAGTTTATGATGGGGTTACAGAAGGAGGCTGTCAGACGGTTACCCCCTCCCCTTCAGCCCAAACATTTTCCCTTCATTCCACATTTATTTGTCTTCATCCAGCTGCAAAAGCTGATGTCACTTGAACACTATTATAACTACTTTAAGCTAGAAAGAAGGGGGGAAAGATCATAATCCCATTTGCTGAGCCGGCCAGCTGCTGTCATAAACACAGCTCAGCAAACAATATGGCACAGGCACAAAGGCAGCAGGTGGGGGGGGGGGGGCAAACCTCAGCAACACCTAAGTAAAACATGTACAGTGACCCATGGAGTTTACACTGGGCAATCAACACATGCTTAAACACTGAAGTGGTTCCATATCAGAAAAAGGAGATCACATGCAGTGGCATGATCTGAGCCAGAGACAACTCACACTCCTGCTCCCACAACAGAGAAGTAGAGCCTGCTAAATACTACAAAGATCGCCCCCCGATTCTGAAGCACTGCATTTCCCACATAATTAAATGTCATCGGCATCAATAGAAGTGGAAATATAGATGTGGGCAGTGTTGGTCTTTGGTTCTTGTTACCAGTGCTAAGTCTGAGAGACGAGACAGTCCAAGTAACTTCAAAACAGTGCTGATTTATTCTAAGGATCACAGGTAAAATTAACATTACATGCTCAGGTATCTTGCACCTCCAAACTGCTCACAGGCAGATGTAAGATGAAAGACCCTGAACCCACCAGGCCTATACATTATATCCCCTCGGTTGGGCTAGCCCCATACTACACAGAAACGTCAACCGAGACGTCTCTGTTACCAGCTTTACAGCTGGCCATAGCAGTAGGCAAAACATGAAGCAAATCAATGTGTGTGTGTCTGTTGGTTAAGTGGTGTGTAACTAAAAACATTCTCACGACTTCTAGTAACATGTCATGATATTAAACATAAGAACATATTATGGCTAAGGCTACAGTTATACACGTCATAATAATAATATTAAACACCCTGTCTGCTGACAGTCATCAACTCTTCTCTCTAGTTATCCTTGACCAGATGTACCCTGTAGAAACTCATAAGCATGACTAAGCATTTAACAGTCTAACTAGACATCCTATCTCCACTAAACATTTCTAATACATAAAGTATCTATCCAATATCTATCTGACTAAAAATACCTAACAGCAGTTAGTTGACATGCTCAACAAATTAATGAATTCTTCTATGATGTCATCCTACAGCACCAATGTTGGCTTTTCAAAGCATGCACAGGCACTTAGAGTGACAAATGACAGAAATGAGTGTGTGATAACTTATTCTAGACCACATGGAGCCACGTGAATAGTCTCACGTCCTCTCAGAGCCAAGGCCAGACAGAAGCCATTTGATTCCTTATGGCTGCCTTAAGGATGATCGTCTGTTCGCACACGCCACATACACACATGTTGTCGGAGCTGCCGCCCGGGAGCCTCAAGATGATGAGAGTAGCAGTTCCTGCTGGGACGGTGTGTGCTGACTACAGAGTCTACTATGCTGAGCTGAAGCCTTTTTTTTTTGTTAAAGGTCAGATGGTATTGTGAGGCAAAAAGGATCTGTATGTTGCTCTACGGGCCTGAAGCAAGTCTCTCCAACAACTTTGAAAGGTTTCCACAACCCAGAATGAACTTGAAAAATAACCTGTACTAACTAGTGTAGATCAGATCCATCTGTTGAGGACTTTGAAAGGATAACAGAGCAGGTTAACAGGTGAACAGCAAATTTCAAATGCTGCTGACCAAGGTAGTCACACAGGACAATGTGAACATCCAAGGGCAAGTCAGGTCTGTGTTGACAGACTTACAGACACTCCTGACTACAGCATACTTTCTTCTTTTACATGAATGATAGTTTCACCTATGAATTACTGGCCTGGTGCCTGCCTATGCAGGCTGACACCCAGCTGATCTAGCACACACACCATTTTAACTTCCAACCTTTCAGCCAGGAGCAATCTTGGATGCTTTTACAGTTAATGTGTGAAAATCAGCAGCTGTTTTGTCACAGCTGCCAACCATGTCAGCTCAGTGCAAAAAACATTTACCAAGTGCCAAGTAAGAATTCTAAAACATCTTCGTACTACAGCAAAACATCAAAATGGATTGCGGTTTAGCCTATGCATTTTCTCACAGCAAACTGTTGCCCACCCCCAAGATATGACCCCCTCCTCACCATTTCTGACTCTGAGTGCCCTAAAGCCCCCCTGCAGGAAATGTAACTGCCGGTGGTTCACACCTCTCAACAATGTCCTGGCAGGGGGTCCCGTCTTCGCACCTCAGGATAGAGAGGCTGTTGTATTAAATGTGGTGATGGGGGAGGTGACGCAGCTGCTGAAATACTTTTGTCTGTGCACCCTGAACCCCAGCAGCACCCACACATGTATGCATACATACAGACCCAAACACTTTCATATAGAGTAATGGCCAGAGGTCTTGTTTCCATCTCAAATATGAATACTACTGCTAGTTTGAATTTCAGCCAGTTGAATTTCCTAGTGCATCATCATATGATGGTGTCGTTTGTTTATTGACATATAAGGGAACTAACTTTATCAAATTACCATAGATGTGAGTCACTACAGAACCCAGGGTTAAAGTAAACCAGGCCTACAAGCAGTCAGAGACGAAACAAAGCCAAGAATGAGTCAGGGCAGCCCTGATCAACAGCCAACTCCAATCCAAAGTGGACACGATGTCATTGGGGCATTCTCAGCCCAGAACAGCAGACATGACAGCAGGGTTCACAGGCCCTTTAAACACATCATCACCATCCACATATCATTCCAGTGAACAAACATAAGCCTTTTATTTAAAGGCCATTTTACCAACAGACCAGTAAAAGCTACTTCAGGATTGGGACAGAATGCACTGTAGCCACACAAAGTAAATCCTAAGTGACTTTTAGGTCAACAGACACTCATGTTCCCAACCTACTGCTTTGATTATTATAGGTACACACAAAGTTGGACAATAAAAAAATTTAAGTTTTGCAGAAGGCCATTAAATTAAGAAAGAAATGAGTCACAGTGAAAGCTCCTCCGACTGAAAACAGTCAACAAATCCTGTCATCAAACAAAGGGCCCCATTGTCTGCACGCAACTGGATGAAGAAAAGTTTGGCAGCCCAAATATACAAACTGCACTCCTGCAGCTCAAACACTTATCGGTTTGATTTAGAAGCAGGTCCACAGAAAAGGACACCAGTGAAAACAGTAACAGAGATGAGACCGATCATATATGAAGAGAGGCCTCTGTGTAGACGGAGAAAGCATGGCCTCTATAGTGGCCAGTCCAGACCCCAGTCCAATGTCAATATTAGTTCATCTCTAACCTTGTCTGAGAGGGTAAACTCCAGGAGAGTGACCTACACAGACCTGCTGACCTCGACATGTGCTCATCACAGCCAGACAGCATGACACTGATGTCACGCAAGGACTGGAACATATTATTTTCTCCATCCAGGGAGTCTTCATCATTACACACTGACTTTAATGCCATATCTCATTCACTGCTGCTAGAAAAAGTTAAAAAAGTGATTAAAATAAATGTTTGCTTAAGATCATTCCGACATTCTTCTTCACTTATTCACTTTTGAAAGATATCAGAACCTGTTTCATCCTTTCATACATTCCAGGCCAGATCTGTTTTTATTTACAGCCCCTGACCTTCAACCTTTTGTACTGCAGTATGGTCCACTCCCTTATCTCTGCCTGGCACCAGAGAAAGTCAAAACACAGTCAGTTACTGATGTCTGATTATTAAATGTCTGAGGAGAATGTCAGGCCTCACAGGTCCTTCCCATGATGCACAGGAGGGTGTGCGTGGTCACTCACATAAAGAAACTACAGACTGTCAATAGTCCATCTTCACTCAATACAAAAATAACATACACACGCAACAGAGGACCTTATATCCTCTTACCATTCCTGTGTACATCTGACAACCGGCGTCACACACAGTTCACAGACACTATCCTCAGGCGGTCTTCCATGGTGGGCCATCTGCTTGTGTCCAAATGTAACTTTATTATGTCAGGCCTAAGGGCACGACAGACACGTATATAAACTCATTGTCAAGGATCAGCATCAAAGTGGGAGAAAGTAAGCCTTTGTGTTTGTAGGCCTGACAGGAACATATGGATGGGAGAAGTATCTTCCCCCTTTCCTCTCCTTCCACTGTAGTCTAACCAGTGATGAACACAAGAGGCAAAGGGTTTACTCATAAGGTTGGAGCCAGGCTCACAGCAGCTCATCCTGACAAGAAGAAACTCCCTGTGCAGCCCTTAACTGACCTCAGCCCAGGATTCCACCTACTCCCCCACACTCCACATCTCCACAGTGTGGGTGATGTGATGGCAAAACCGAGAGATAAGAGAAACGCGCTTCATGACTCTACTGATACGTTTTGATGTGTAAACTTCTAAGAAACTGTGGATGGAAACTGGCACATACATGTGGTTTGCAGATAAAGCAATGACTCACTGTCTTAAATCTGCTTTCTAGTTTTGTTTGACATTTGACTTCTGAATACATATCATCCACATGAAAATTACAAGGCTGTAAGAAGCTACACAAACATTATTGTCTCCCCTGCATCTCCATAAGCATGGAGTCTCAACTGTAGAAAAGTTCAGATTACGTCATCAGTGAGACGACGTCTACTTTGTCTCATACTTAATGAGACGAGCAGAGATGATGTGGAGAGAGGCTAGACAGTGGGGGGGAGGATGAATTAAAAAGCCCTGCAGAATGACATCACTATAGAAGGAAGTACAGAGGGGGATGCTGGAGAAAGAAGAGGGGTCCATGCACATGAGCCTCACATACCACTCTCCTAATGTCTCTGCTTCCCAGACACAAAAAACTAATACCAAAAACAGCAAGCTTTTGAATAGACAGTGAGGGCTAGGGGAAGAGAAGGGAAACCTCCCCAGGTCTGAGTGTCTGACGTCCACGGAAGTCAGGAGAAAAACATGCTGCTGGCGGCCTGCTCAGCACAAAGCCCCTTCTCAAGTCCCACCACACTGGCTGGTTGGACACGGCTGGTGCTCAGCAGACACAGACTCAGCCAGGAAGACTGATTATGTCTGAGTGAAACCTTGACTGAGGCTGCATAACATTTGTTACTGATTGTTAGGATTACAGGCTTGGGTCCACAGCTCAATTGATAGCAACACAAATGCTAATCTGTCAGTAACTTCCATGAATTAACCAAGGTCTTGCTTTTTGCTACATCCCAGTTGACTACATGCTTCTGTGAAGGCCTACACTATGATTTTGTCCTTAGACAACCAGACTATTAGACCACAGGCATCTCATGCCAAAATCTCTTAAGGGGGGAATGTTGAGACAGTGGCAGCATGCTGAGTGTCACCTGGATCACAGAGCCAGAAAACATCGCAATCAGCAGCAGCTTTTCATAATAATCACCTTTATTCAGTCCAATAATATGCGAATGCTAACGGCTGCAGTTAACAGGCTTTTTTCTGGAAGGGACAGATTAAAAGATCAGAATGAAGTGTCATTTTGTTGGGACAATGAGATTGGGACTGGAGGTGATTCTAGAGTTTTTGTTCTTTGTTTGAGTTCATCATTTCCACTGTGAAATAGTCACCATCTTGTACAAAAGGAGTCATATAGAATACAAATTCATATATTTCACGAAAACGTTTAATTACAGTGACTTGTGCGCGCTGTGCGCAAAGCAAATGTCCAGAAGGCACAGTGTACACAAAACGCTGATGCAAAGAACATAACAGAAATGAACTGCTGAAAATATTTTATTCCTATTGGAGCCAACTCTTTAACTTTAACATCGGAGTTGCAATTAGTGGTGGTCAATAAAATCTCCAATTGGAAAGTGCACAAGCTGCGCGCAACGTGTTTGTGTACATCTGGGTATCGTGCCCACATACAATTATAAACAAATGTTTCAGACTGTGTGCACGAGTTTGTTGCTGAAAGACCCCTCCTCTATTTGTAACAGAGCGTCTGGAAAATGACTTCTGTGTTACAGAACCTCACCTGGCAGAATCAGCCAAATAAAAGTCAACAGCGTATCCAAAGTAACTCCCTTTAGGTCCGCTGTAAACGGCTGGGTTAGCCACGTCCAAGTTGAACGTCTCGCAGACAGGCATAGAAAAAGTCAGTACCAGCCCGATGATACAAAGGAGTGGGTGGGCGAAAAGGGCTACTATCCCCGGCGCCTTCACGCGAAATCGTTCCAATCGCATTGTTGGGAATAAATAGTTTGTTTTAAATTGCGGAATTGTCCCGGGTTGCGCGCTTTCGAGTCCGCAGATCAGGCCTGAAAACAGTGGTGGGATATGGCTAAAACTGCATCTCTGCAACTCAGATAACCGGCAACTATCACACAAAAGCTCGGTCGGCGTCCACCCCGCTCTCAGATTGACTCTTTGCCTCTCTCCAGACCCACGCCTTCTCTCCTCACTTCATCATGATAGACGAAGCAGGGAGTTCCCACAGCAGAGACGAAGTTTGGAGGAGGAGCCTGTGATTCCCTAAGAAAAAAAACTTGGTAGAGGGCTCTCATTCACTAAACTATCTCGGAGTGCATGTTTACCGATGTGGTAAAACTGTAGTCACTTTTGAACTTTTGAGTTGAGATTCTTTCTTATCAGTGACACCAGGGTTATTCACCTAAAGAACAATGGGTGCAAATCCTCCTTTCGATTGTATCTCACATTTATCTTGACCCATTGTGACTGGAGCTGGTGTCAGAGAAGGCAGCTTGGTAGGTGATAAGAAGGTCAATGAAACTTCACATGGCCATCCAATATAAGGTCCACTACTAATACATGAAACTCTTGTAGGGCTTTATCTCTTGGAGTTTTCATTGATAAGTCCGGGTTTCAAACGGTTATGAAGTGCTGGTTTTGTCTCCTTTGTGAGCATCAGCAGCCTTAGCTCAGGGTGAAAACTGATCATCAACTTCCTAAATGTACAGCTCTCATAATAAAGCCGTGACCTATTTGTGTAACTCCACACTAATTATACCTTTAGCACACAGCCTTGCAACTGTTGGTAGCCCCAGGAAAATGTGGTTTTGGATCCTCACTACTGTGCAGATCTCCCCTTTCCTCTGTGACCATAAATATGAATAAATGTAACATGAATTTATTGTAATCACAAGATGATTAGTCTGTTAACCTTGGTGCTGAGCAATGTCAACTGTTCAGCTCTAGGCTCACTCCAATGTCAATGGTTGATGTTTATTCTTTTCATTATAATACTTTGATTTGTATTGATGTTTCATTATGAATTGCTCATTTAATACATTTATACATGGCTTGCTAAAATCATACTATGATAGTCTGTGTCTAAAAGTGTTTGCTGTACATCTGAGCTGTTCCCTTGTCTCTCTTAGCGCAGCCAGCCTGCAACAGCTGCCGTAGCATTTATGGTCATGCTTAGATACTTCCACAAATCACTTCCAAATCAACCAGTGACACCCTGCTTTCTCAGACATATACTGTAGCTATTTGAAACTAGGCTGTGTGCTGTGTGTGGACACACCTGCAATTCTAAGAAGAGCACAGATGACAGAATATAGCCATGTTTTGCTAACCAGTGGAAACCCATTGCTTTGTGTTGAATCAGTCTCATTGTTGCCTTTTAAGGGATTGCCTATACAGTATAGGTGTACGATGGCAGACTGTACTGTTCACCAATCAGATAATGAGATGTGTACTCTTGGGTATGATAGCGTGATGCTAAGACTGTTCACCCCTTGAGCTGCACTCTGTCTGAAGAGGATACAAAGACTGGAGAGGATCGGGGCAGCCGCCTCTTCTGCTTCTTTTTTCTTCTGGGGCCTCTTCTTCATCATCTAGATTAGCAAACTTTTTTTATTTGTTTAATTCTCTTGTGTCCCATTTAAACAGTCTTCTGAAGTTTTTAAACATTATTAAAGATTTGTTAAAATTTTAAGAACTTCAGTTTTTTTATGGGGGTGTGGTTTTCACAACCCAGGGAGGAAAATGGTTCCTTCAGCCCCCCCAAGGTAAGAGCCTCCTCCATTCTTGGTGGTTAGATGTATCACAGTAGAATCCTTATCCTGGCAGGGATCTAGTGAATAAATCCATGTCTAAAAGGTATTGAGGTTCCAACTGAATTAGCCTGCAGAGGTTTAAATCAAAGTGGTCTGCTAGTGAGCTGCTTGACTGCACTGCGGTAAAGTGTAGTCACTTTTAAGTCACTAAAATGAAAATAAATAAGCACATCTAGAAGACCATAATCACTAAAACAGTGCTGCTCACCGGAGCTTCCAATAGGGAAGATTATCCCAATAGCACAGAAGCTCATGAGCTGCGTGCGTTAAAAGGGCCTAATTTGCTCTTAGATCAGATCCTCTTGGACTCCAGGGTTCATGATCTGACATTCCTGGCATGTAGTGAATACATTAGGAGGGAGTAAACTTAGTTAAGACTCTCAATAAAGAGCAGGGTAACTCCTGGTGTCTTTCACTTATATTCACTACACAACTCATTGTGTGATCCATATGTATTTCTACCTAATGTAGAAAGAAATTCTTGATAAAATGATATAGTGCTATGTTATGTATTTGCAAAACTGTTCAAATAATTGTTTAATCTGTTTGACCTTTGGAAAGACTAGACCTGTGCTCATGAAATGCTTGTGAGTAGGTGCAGAGGCTCAGAGCAAACACGAAGTCTTGCAGATACATACTGAGATGACTAAACTGTCTGCACAAGAATAGTGTGTGGGTGTAAGGTCTGACTGTCTTGGCTTCAGATCATCAACATTTATCAACATATGAAATTCTAGGATGATTGGGCAGCAGTCGAAGGCAGGGGCCCCGACGACCCGATCTCTGGACACGGAGACTAGCCCCGGGGACATGGAATGTCACCTCGCTGATGGGGAAGGAGCCCGAGCTTGTGCGGGAGGTTGTGAGGTACCGGCTAGATATAGTCGGGCTCACCTCCACGCACAGCTTGGGCTCTGGAACTTTACTCCT